TTTCTAGAATTATTCTAGAGCCATAATGTTTGTTCATGTTTCCTTCATTTCTAGCTTGGTCCCAGTGGAACAAATCATTTTAAAGCTCATTTCCAGATGAACAATCTTATGTCACTCCTGACCATCTCCACATCTGAAACACAAAGTGGATCGTTATCTTGTGAAAACTGCACCAGTAACGATGCTGCCAAAGGAAGATGTTCTGATTGTTGTGCGTTGTTGTGCGATTTCTGTCTTAAGGCTCACCAGAGATTCAAAGACACACAAGACCACAAGATCATGAGCCTTGAAGAAGTCAAGAAACAAGGTGCTCCAGCCATGACACAACAAGTTAAATGTGAGAAACACAAAGGTGAAGTCAAAAAGCTTTACTGTGAATCCTGTCAGCAGTTAATTTGTCGTGACTGCACCATCATTGACCATCGTGAACACAAGTTTCAGTTTATAGACGAAGTGGCTGGAAGGCTTGTTCAGAATCTAAACCGTAATGTGGTAAATGCCGTTCAAGCTAGGTCCAAGGTGGAGGGGACAAGAAAAACGGTAAGAGAGATGAAAGAGAAGATCAAGACAAAATGCGACAATACTTTAAAGGAAATTGAAGATGCTGTCCAAGAGCAAATTGCTTTTTTGATGAACAAAGAGAAAGAACTTAAGAAAGAAGTTAAGAAAATTGCTGATAACAATACGAAGATTCTTGATGAACAAGAAAAAGAGCTTACCAAAAAATTGAATGGACTTGACAATTCCATTCAATTCACACAAAAGGTCCTGCAGGATGGTAACAATATCAATATTTTGTCTGTATCATCTGAAGCCAACAGTCGCTTGGTGACATTGACAAATCAGGTGCCTTACATAGAAAATCAACCTCGTGCACAAGATGACTTCAGTCTCCAACATGACCGCGACAAAATCCAAAACGTTGTAGAAAATGGAATGGAAATTGTCGACATTGTGCAGGGTTTATATAAGACTTTATATGTATATGGGAAGCATAATAAGTCTAGGAATTCATATAGGGCCAATAGATGAATCTTTCTTTTTCTTCTTTTTTTGAATGGCCATTCAACAGGAATATTAGTGAAAGTGGGCTATTAGTGGCCGATGTGGTTCTGATTTGAAATCAAAAGCAAGAGTAGATTAAAACATTTTTATTGTCAAACATTTTTTGTATACGTTGTAACATAACTGGCTACTTTTCTGGATAATAATTGTTACAGCAAACATTGCCTAGTATAAAATAAACTCACCCAATTCCTCTTAAGTGGGACGAATTTGTTAATTTTGTATTAAATAAAATAAATGTATCATATATTAATAACAACGAAATATATTATAACAAACTCAAATTCTATAATACAATATTATATTAGCCGCCCCCTCCCTGAATTTCTTATATTGCCCTAAAAAGAGCTGAAAATATATCTTTCTTACATTTTATGTGATTGGCTACTTCTTCCAGAAAAATGCTAACTTGTGATTGGTTAAAATATGACTTGGTTTAGTATAAGAGCTACAATTGGCAGCGACGCCGCCATATATTGTACTCAAAAAAAGATGATRAATAATGTCCTTTCTCATTTCATGTCTGCAAATAGTTTCGAAAAGCCTTTTTGTCTTTCTTTACAGAAGCGCTTCGACTTTATTCGACTTTATTTATTGTATATTTCCAAAGAATAAAAACAAACCCCACTGTCAAGGTCTACTTCTCCCATCATGCATTGGGGTAGAAAACGRTGTCGCTGTGCATTATGGGYTGTTGGTTAAAAGCACCTAACTAATGATATTTCCACGATTAGCAGCAAATCTGTGCTTAGCTCTATTGTAAATCAGTCTTTTATGCATGTTCTCTTTTTCTTGCTTGTATTTTCATGTTTTCTGTTCAATACAAAAGTCCTTCCAATCCGGCATTCGATGAAAATGGAGCAGTTCTTGATGCGTCGTCTTTTTCACCTGTAAAAAAAAAAAAAACAATAATTGGGATTTTTCTCCGGGTCCTCCAGTTTTCCTCCCTCAGTAAAAATCAACATGTGAGGAGTGTTGTGTGCTAAAATACTTAAAGTAGAGGTAGTGAGTGTGAGAGTACAGGGTCCGCAGTAATTGACTCACGCTGTTGCGGTAACCCTGCTCATACTATAGGGGCAAAGCTAATAAATTAAAAATTAAATTAAATTAAATGAGATGTAAGGTTTACTCTAAAATAGATGTAGTTCTCTTCATCCTCGTCCTAAGGGGGAAATAATTCGAGAAAGATGTACAAAATTCGCCATGAAATTACGGCCTCTTTAAAGGGACACTGTCAATGGCACGCATGCGGGAGTAAACTTGAAAACATTAGGCTAATGTTTTCAAGTTTATGACTCCAAGTTGGAGCAACATAAATCAGCTCGTAAACGTAAACAGATCTAGAATATTCCAAAGTGTGTCAAAAGCACCACAAAATGATTTTCCTCGAAGGTAATACTTTCAAAGTCCGTTAGAGGCGAGACTGTTACTGCGCATGTCACCATTGACAGTGTCCCTTTAAGAGATTTTATCTGGAGAATTACTAATTGTCTTCCCAAAGAATCACTCACCAAAGGAAGTCAAAGCTCTTTTTGCAGCGCTTTTAACATTAGGGACGTCGCATCGACTTAGGTAACGCAGCTGTGAGACGCAGTCTTTAACTTGGAGGACAGTCAAAGCGAGACACGCGCCTTCACGTAGTCGGTCATCGGATTCCTCTAGTGCTTCCGTTGCTAACGTCACGGCCTGTCAATGATGTCAATTCTTATTCAAGTCATGGCAACGAGGATTTAAATATGTTATAATGTTGGCTGAGCTAGAAATATCAAAATGATGCTCTCTTACCTTTCGTCTTGCTTCACTGTCTTTCATCAAACTGCACAAAAAGTGCTCTGTAATAAAATAAAAACAAGGTTCAACTTCTATGGACACCACGCATGTATTTCATTAGTAATACCGCTGTACCAACCTGCCGCATGTGCAAGATGACTGTCTTTATCAACAAGTAGAGAAAGTACCGCACAAAAACATATTCTCGTCAAAGGAACTTCACTGTAGTGCTTTAACTATAAATACGACAAAGAAAGATGTTGGAAGTCACTTCGGGGAAGCAGGCATGGGTTCGCAAAGGCACTTGGGATTGTTAAGGGAGACAAGTGAGTGAGCAAGTACAGACGGTAATTATAAGRGAAAAAACATAATCCATGTCGTGTTGCAATCGATACATCCTTTTTTTATATCATCTGAGAAGATGCAGCATTACTTACCTGAGCAATAACTGCTTCTTTCTCAGTCGACAACAAGCGTCTGCTAATCAGCACTGCAAAAACAGATTGATTCATATTAATTCGACGAAACTCTTACTCTGTTTTTCAATAGTATTTTTACTTACGTTCATACGAGACCTCGTCTACGTACTTGGTCGTATTATGCCTACAAATGAAATATAGGTCGGTTTAAGAGGTTGATTTCATGGGATAATTTTCAGACGTTGGTTCGGTTTATAAGGAGGTGGTCCTTCTAGAGGGGTTTACTAACCTTGAATGCTCCAATAAAAAGTTTTCGTATTGATAAACTGTAATGACCTCATTATCGTCCACAAGAGGTTCGACCAGGTCGCCATCTTGATGTATGATTCGACCGATGATTGTTGGGAAAACTGATGGAAAATATATCATATTTCAACATATATACAGTAAATACAGTTGAACCCCACCTTGCAACCACCCCACTAATATGGCCACTTTTCGATGTCCCTTCGGTGGCCGGATAAACGAGGCTCAGTTATTAAAAGTCGTTGTAACACAGAAAAAGATAGTATCTTACCACTGTCTGCTACTCTGTTATAACTTTGCTTTATTTGTGACTTAAACCTTTCTTCTAAAGACACCTGAAGGTCTTTTACGAGAACATACAATGGCTAAAAACAAAAATATAGAGGTCAGGTACTATCGTTAATTCCTATCGACAAAGGGAGGCTTCTTTTGGATAAGACTTCAACTAACGTAACCAAAGAACTACCGAAGAGGCTGGACAACCAGTGTCTCACAAGAGTTGGCTAAGACTTTTCTGGTAGTTTTTCACGCTTATCACTGATTGTAATCCATAGTTAATATTAACTATGTTGTAATCCTAGTCTACGTGAGTATACAGATAACCAGAAGCTTGATATTATATATTATTAATAAATAATAAATAATAATATTAATCTTTAATAAAGAGGATGATATTAGCTTACACTCGCTTTGATGCTGCCTTGCCACATGGAACAAACTAAAACGTTTGAAAATAAACCAGGACATGCTGTGAAAGGAAAAAAAGAATGAAAAGAAGATGAATGGAAGGGATAAAAGATGAAATGAATGAAGGGATGAATGAATGAAAAGGAAGGAAGGATGATGAATGAATGAAATGGTAGGATAGATGGGTGAATGAGACAAATGCATGGATGAATGAAATCACTGGATGGATGGGGATGGATGACATTGTTACTGACTGAATGAATGAAATGGTAGGATAGATGGGTGAATGAATGATAGATGGGTGAATGAGACAAATGCATGGATGAATGAAATCACTGGATGGATGGATAGCTGATGGGGATGGATGATATTGTGACTGACTGAATGGATGAAAGTCGTACCTCTTTCCAGTGTAATTTCTTCATTATCGTGATGTGCTGCGAGATCTACTAGAAGCTCCAATACTCTGGCTTGATGTCTTAACTTAGTCAGGGCCACCGATTCCTAAAAACAATTCCATATTTTAATATTTGTAATCCACATTAAAATACAAAAGACGAACGCTCTAAAAACAAACACTAAAAGAGTGCAACACTTTCCACTATTTACTATAAAATATTGCTAATTATACAATAGAAAACAATAGAATTAGCAGTATTTAGCAGTACTTTAATTGTATTTATGTTGCACAGTTTTAGTATTTGTACTCTACATATATTATGATAATACCTTGAATTTCATCGGTCCAAACGATCCCAAGTACTAAAGGAAATAGAAAAAAAGACATCATTAGTGATATAATACAAGCGATACTTGGTTTTCAGCAGACTTACCCCAGTTAGTTCTTCACAAAGTTGTAAATGAGCCAAAATAACCTGAAAACAAAAGAAAGATAAAACGGCGGTCGGTTGCTCCTTCATTTATTTATTCCTTTGGTCGATAGAAGTAGCTTTATAACAGTGGTGGTGATAACAACCTCGTTCCCTGATTTTATTATGGTCAGTGGTCGGTTTATAAGGCTGAATAGCCGTAATAATGAGGTTAGTCCTTACTTATTCTAGGTCGAATGGTCGCTCTATGAATATGGTCGCAATAACTAGGTTTTTCTTACCTTATCCAATGCTTTATTACCAACAGTGACYTCATGACTACTACTGGACGATAGGTTCGGACTAAGGGGTCTTGACGCCTGGCTACTTGCCACGCCCACTGCCCCGTCAACMCCCTCGTCTTGAGGTACGTCTTCTTTCGACCTTGTGTCGCAGACTTCGATAATCTCTTGGTTATCTTCGATCTTAAAACTCGTTACAAACTCATCTCGAAACGATGTCTCGATGATTTCCGCAGATGAGCTGCTCTCAGATGCTTCAGCTATTGTTTCTGGTGTAAACTGTGGTCCTTTATCTTTCTTAGTCGGTGATTTTACATGACTTTCTTCGCCACTGTCGCGRCCTACAAAGTCGTCCGTACTGTTGTATCCAGTGTCCTGGTGCCAGCTTCCATCACTTCGCACGCTTTGCGCGATGCTTTCGACATCGTCGTTGTCTTCAAGGAAGTCGAAACTCTCTAAAGCACTTTCGACCGATATCGAAATCGATGACCGCGAGAGACTACACTTCTGTTGGATTATAAAAAAAGTTAATTATACTGACTACATATGAAAATACAGACAATAACATGGATACCATATATGGATGAATTATTGATTCTTTCAATTATTATTTTAACAAAAAATGTTTTAATAAATAASTCATCATGCATAAGGGTTCGAATCTCATTCGAGGTGACTTGAACACTCTTKAGCTTACAAGTGTTGCTTGTGCTTAGATTTACTTGTGGTATGATGCATGCTTTAAATGAAAACATGCAAAGGGGGGAATCAATGGAACAACAACAACAAGGCGAATATCATGCTATTTGATACATGCATAAGGCAGAGACAACTGAGAGAAAAGAAGAAATCACAATCACGTGTAGCAGCACTCATGCAGCTTGATTCAATATTCTAGAACGCCAGAAACAGCAAAAACAAGTCGTGTKGGAAAATGGAACTGAAAGCAAGAGAGGATGAAGACAAGGGGAAAATGGGACAGAAAGGAAAGAAGAAAAAAAGAAAGAAAAAGGAGGAAAAAGATAATAGAAAGAAATGAAATTAGTACTAACTGAGAGTCTYTTGAAGGCCTGAGATTCATGGTTAAGACACGTCTCCAATACGTAGTTGGCGGGCTGAGAAACCTGCGTTACGTTTACGTAGGATCGACGTAMAGGGTTAAGACAAATAAATCAGTTTAATTCCAAACAATTTTAATTCCTGATTTTCATATGTAAGTACTGTATGCATGTGATTGTGTGGGTCTGTTTGAGGCACTTACTTTCAGAAGCTCTTCAAGTTTTTCTAACTGTCTTATCATTAACTGAAGCTCAGGGTATTGATCTATGAAATGTAAACAAAGATAGAGTAAACTCTCGGCTTACGGAMACYCCGATATGACGACCGAACACCCCGCTATTGCGGACATTAGGGTGGGCGCTGAATGAGGACCGCTTTTACAAGTTATGGTCYCCTGGTTCAAACTATAGTACTAGTAGTRAGATATCTGTACCTTTATGCGACTGTAAAGTTGGTATCAAATGAAATATCGCTCTGTCTAACGACGTGGAGTGTCGAAACTCCTCTTGGTCTTCAATCAATCCATTCTCTATTATG